AAAACTCGAGGCGTTTGTTGAAAAACCAAAGATAAAACTCGAGGCGTTTGTTGAAAAACCAAGGAAAACTCGAGGCGTTTGTTGAAAAACCAAAAAGCTCGCTGTGCATCTTCGAAATCGTTGAAAAGCTCGTTGCAATCCATAAAAGCGCAATATCAATCTAGAACCGAAAAAAGCTAATCAATATGTCGTTGTAAGTTTTATTTACTAAAGACAAATAGTGTGCCAGAGAAAATAAGCAAAAACGAGCAAGTCAAAAAAAGCCAATTATATTCCTTTTTAAAACTTTACCCGCGAAAATCCGAATATTGTAATTTTTAGTGCGCTGCCAGCTACGAAAAACCAGAGAATAGAGAATGGCCGAAAAATCTCCCTGGAAACGTAGTCCTCCGCCTTATGCAAGCGCACGACCTTGGAGGGTTAAAGGTGTACATGACTGAAACTGCAAGTACGTGTGCATTGTGTGCATGTATATTATCAAATTAATTAAACTGCATTGATCTAAAAAAGAAGAAAAAGAAAATATGTATTAGTACATTGCAGTAGTACAAGTACATTAGTTAAAAATTCAGTTTCTTAATATAAAAATGCAAAATTTAAAGGAATAGATGAGGTGATAAAACAAGCTTATATTTTTCCATCTGAAACGAGAGAGAAAGAAAAAGGATATAAGTATTTAAAATAGTTTGACATTTATTTTTTCAAACAGAGGTTAAAAAACAAAAGCTAAATTTGAATCTAAACTTTTGAATCTTAACTGTCTGAAAACTGTTTTGTTTCTAAACTTACCACGTTTAGAAAAAAGATAATATCAAGATACAAAAGCATAAAACAGCTTTATACTTTAAAGTCTTATTATTTCTGGTTATTCCTTATTCACATATATATATATTATATATATATTATTATCTATGATATTTGTGTGTGTGCATAAAAGTAAAGGGGATATTCTAGGATTCTCAAGGAAGTGCCGAATACTTCAGAGAGAGCTGGAATATCCAAGACCCAAACCCTCGACTATATTACTACATTATGCTATCGAATGAGATTAAGCTTAAAAAGAGGGGATATTCCAGGATTCTCAACGAAGAAATGAATACTTCAGAGAGAGCTGGGATATCCAAGACCCACACCCTCGAATCTAATTTTATATCGTCATCTACCTACTATGCGATACTAGAATGAAAAGCCGAAAGAAAATTTACGAAACGAATCAAAACTTGTCGTCGAAAACGATTCGAAAAATATAAGCATCGAAATGAACGAACAGCAGTAATGAAAGAGTATGATGATCTATCACATACTATTAAAGTGAAAACAGTTTAAAATCTTAAAAAACTTTACAATATTTTATCAAAAAGACAGATTAACTATGACATAATCTGTGGAAGAAACATACACAAAACAAACATACATAAACATAAATGATATAAAATTCTAGTTTTGTGAAAAATTCTATCCTAAAGAAGCTACCACTGACATGCCCGGTGCATGATAAAACAGAAAACTATCGCAGACTCGTCTTCTCTTCTAGAGGCAGCCGAGTTTGGCTGTTCTTGGTAGACTTGAGCCACGACTGAAAAGCAAGACTACACTGGAGCAGCAAGTCAGGATTTTATCACGACCATCAACCGAGAGGAGGGTGGAGGACAATGATCCGGCGGGACATCCTGACTGTACTTAGTCTTACGAGAGCACGCAACTGGCCAGTCTAATAAATATCCAACCTTAGGCGCTGTGTGAGGGGAGCGAGTGATATGTACACTGGCCAGCGTTACTCAAGTAAGCCTGAACTCCAGTCGAAACTAAAGTTCACACCTTATTTGTAGATCCTGTGTCTTCATCGACGTCCAGCGTTGCCAACGTGGTAACGAAAATTCTTTTAAAAAGCTAACCTAGAATTGGCCAATTGACCCTGGTCGAGATGACCAGTCAAAAACACTAATATCCGCCATACCCCGCCTAGTTTTAAGATAGTGGTAGCTTCTTGTCAAACAAATAATTCCTGGGATCAGCCTTACATCTGGATCCCTCTTAATGCTTAGCTAGAAATTTTCTAGATCGACATACAAAAAATTCCTAATAAGCCTTTTTATAGTTTAAGAATCGATTCCACTGCGCATGCGATTTTATCCCGAATTTCTCACCTTCTTTTGTCCAAATCTTCTTTTGTTCTTAATTAAACAAAAGGTGAGAAATTCGGGATAAAATTGCATGCGCAGTGGAATCGATTCTTAAACTATGAAAAGGCTTATTGACTTCCAACATACGAGCCAAATTTCACGGTAAAAGTTATTAGAATATTTTTCACGTATGTCTGGAAGGCAAAGTCCTAACCTAGTGAGTTCAGAATAGAACACGTTCCTTTTTGATTTAGGAACTGCCTCACACCCCACGTCTTTCCGATCTAACTACGATGCAACAATGAGAGGATCAAGAACAAGGTCGAGCCAGCCAAACAAAATACACGACGAAAGCAATTTTTAAAATTCTTTGAACTTGTTCAAGCTCTTCTACCATCAACTCAGTTCTTACGATACTCAGTAGTCTTCATCTTGCCTCTAGGTACTTTATATAACCACTTCCAAAATAATAAATCTGTGAAGAATTTAAAACAATGTCAGTATTTGGTGGACAGATAGCTTTCTTAGCATAACTATAAGAAAGAATATTGATAGCCGGCATTGAAAAGTCTTCAGAGCTAGATTTATCGACGACTTTCGCCAAAATGAAAAGCGCGCCAAAATGAAAAGCGCGCCAAAAAGTAAATGTCAGACATTTTTTCAAATTTGGAAAAAAATTGAAAAAAATTCAAATAAAAGTTATGGAAATCATAAGCTCCGTTACTCGAAATGGAAAATTTTTTTATTGAAAGGATAATAAAAAGGCAATTTTTCAAGCTAGAATCCGCCAAGTTGCAGAGTCAAAATCTTTACCATAAGAGCGTGAAAACAAGTGGAAACCTTTTCGAACGCGGAAAAAGTATATATCGATAGCCATCAAAATTCAGATAAAATAAACTCCAAAAAGTTACAATATCTAGTAAAAGTACAGTACGATATTTAAAAAATGAAGAAAGTTAAACAAAACAAGAGAATTTTTGCTCTTTTGACTGTCGTGGTCGCTTTGTGCTGCATTTGAACCGTGAATGAAAAAAATTTCTACAGCAAATACCATGAAATTTCTTGCTCAGAACATTAAAAAAACGATAAGAATTGCTCCAACTTCAGCAAGTTTTTTTGTTCAAAGTAAAGACATTTTCCAAATAATTTGTATTTTCCCCCTTACGATGACTTTCAGTCAAGGCAACTCATGGATTTTGGGAAATTCTATTTTCGAATAGTAAAAGTTTTTTTTACATCAGAAAAATAGTTTCTTTTACCTTCTGACTAGGAAGGTGCTGTGTAAAACTACACATTTGAATTACCGAAGTTGGAAAAATTAAGAAAAAGATGAATCATCATTCGAGGTAGTTTTTATAGGAAGAGAGTAGTACATACCTGACTTACTTCACGTCAACTTGATATGAAGTCAAACCCCACAAACCAAAAAACTAATATACTGCATTCCCCCATAAATTAACTGTCAATCAAACCATACCAGCCAATAAGATTAGACCGCTTTTAAAATCATATGCAATGCGATTGGCTATATCACTGCACGTGATAATGCGGCGCATTTTAACCAATAGGATCAGTCTTATTTTCGCGCCTTTTCAAGCTGTCATTGAAAAAGTCTTGTAATGGAATGTTAATATCGAAACGCTCTCTGATTTGATTGGCTATTATCACTGCATGTGATAATGCGACGCATTTTAACCAATAGGATTAGTCTTATTGTCGCGCCTTTTCAAGCTGTCATTGATAAGGTCTTGTAATGGAATGTTATTATCGAAACGCTCTCTGATTTGATTGGCTATTATCACTGCAAGTGATAATGCGACGCATTTTAACCAATAGGATCAGCCTAATTTTCGCACTTTTTAAGCTTTCATTGATAAAGTCTTGTAATGGAATGTGATTATCGAAATACCCTCTGCTTTGAATGGTCAATAATCTTTGCACGTGAAATAAACGGTCAATGAAAAGCAATATTTCTTTTTGACGCCTTTTCGTTTGTCAATCAAAAATTTCATCCAATGAAATAGCATATGCATCCCCTATCATCCCCTACCTACGTCCCCTTCCGGCCTTTCCAAAAAAGCGACAACATAGATCTGTAGAATATAGATCTATACAATAAGGCATATAAAACGGATAACACAGAAACACACGTTTTTGCACACTTATAGTTTTGTACCAGCACACAACTGAACACAGCAACGCACAAACGTCTATAAGGAAGGCCATCAGTACCAGGGGATTTTGGCTGTGGGATTGAAACGTAGATATAAACGATGACTGTATCAAGAATTGGGATGGGCTAACTGTAGATAATTATAAACAAGCTTCAAACAAGCAACAAGGTTCAAGATTATGTAATTGGAGAGTTCCTAATTTTTGGGGTCCCATTGGGATCTAGTGGGTTCGGACAACTATCCCCCCTCCTGATGAGTCCCTGCAAATTCGCTCTGTGACTAAACAATACCTTGATCTCAGCCCAGAGGTCTTTTTAAAGAGTTAAGGGGTTGGAGAGTTAGCTGCACCCTGAACTGGATCAGCTCAGTATCAATCAATAAAGTTTGAAGTTTTTTCTGTTACATTTCAGACACTAGCAAGACCAGAGGAAATTTCAACAAGATTGATCTACCAGAGTCAGTTGGCTTCTTTCTTGGGACTCCCCCTGAGCTCAATATCCTTCCCAACTTTGTCGGTTGCATCCAGGACTTTACTGTGGATGGAAGAGAACCACTATCCAATGCTTATGTTTCCAAACCAGAGTATCCAAGCTATGGAATGGAATACATGAGTGTATGCTAAAGGAGCACTATTTAGTACTGTAGACATATCATGGTGTCATATATGGTTTCAGAGTCAAAGTGTTTCAAAATTTTAGGGGTTTTTCAGGGTCAGACAGGGATGTTACTTAAAATACTTAAGGCTAGAGAGGGGAGGGAGTCAGGCTCTCTGATGTGGGCCTATTTTTTAACCAGCCTTCCAAAACTAGAAAATAGAAGAAAATACTACCCCCTTCCCCCAAATATTTCTCCAACTGCTTCGTATCATTTTTACCTTTTGGCCTTCTCCCCTCTCCTTTAAACTTTTTGAAATGTTCCCAATTAGTGAAACCCAACAATAACAACAATAACAACAACAAAAAAGACAACAAAAAACTAACCATAATAGATTAATTATATAATTAGTTCAAACCATAAAATGATGACCATTGCTTTTATTTCTTATAATAAAAAATGTTTTTATCTCTGCTTCCATTTTATCAATTAGATTGAAATTTCTACATATACCCTATATATTTGCTATTAAGTGTTGCAAGAGCATTTTAGTGGAATGTGGTTGCCACAAATGTAAGAGATGTGTATTAAAAAAAAGTTTGCCAGCTTTTAAGTAAAATCATTTTTTTAAGTCAAGACATACAGGGTGTTTCATATGATTATACATTTATGGGTTTTCAATAAATTAAACCACAGTATATAGTTTATACTAAATATTTTCCGAAGCAAATGTCCTAGTGAAAGGACAGGGAAACATTGACAGTGTGACCATGCTAAGACGGCTTTAGAATACAATAATTGAGTACTGGCACTCATATGTTAAAGGATTGACAATATTCTATAAAACACTATTACTGTCATGATAAGTTACGGGTGACATGAGTCGACCTTTTTAGATGTGTTGGTCAGGGTTAGCCTTGATTTTGTGTAAAATATTCACATGTTCCAGTGAAGGTCCTTGGAACTTTGAAGTGTTTGTATTGTTGAAGTTGTGTATTCTTTACTTTACTGTTGGTATTTGTGAATATTTAGACACTGATATGAGACAAAGCCTGACTAAATGAGTCTGTAATCGAGGAACAAAGCAGTAATTTGGAACTTGAAAAAGGTCTATTGGGTGCAATGTTCACCCCTTTCAGACCATGTCATTCCCTTGTGTATGCAGACACATAAATAAATATAGATACAACTCAAACACAGAATCTTATTGTCGATAGAATGGTGCACAGCGTGAAATGGGAAAACAATATACTTCAGATATAAAGGTCTACTTTTTTTACAGTCACTATGAAATTTAACCCAAGTTTTTTTAACTCATTACAGTCTATAAAATCTAATTTAATCAAGAAGGTGCAATGGTATGCCAAGTTTGGCCAGTTCCATCTGACTAACACTCTCAATATTAGGAATACAAGACATAACAGCCTGTACTGACAGCTCCACAAGGGATGGTGGAACAAGCCACAAGCAGTGCAGGTCATTTGATCTAATGTCTGTTTCTGCATCTATTGATTTTACACCACCAAATGTAAGCATGCATCCAGAGGGAGTGATAGCAGTAGAGTGGAAATACACTGGATAGGGTAAAACCTGCAAGGCAATGGATGCACATGACAAGATTTAGTGACAGATTAATATGATATACTAGTCTTTGTGGATTCATGGATTTTTTAACATTAAGCCTGAAGTCAAATATATTTTGTGCTAGAGGTAAAGACATGATATTTAGATCATAATTTATGTCATAAGCTTGATACCATTTCATTAGTAACTTTCCATATCACATTGCAAACAAACCAAAAAGTCTTTAAGCAAGGGAGTGATATGGTATGAAAAATAAGTGAAAACATGACAATTTCAGGAAGACTGCATTTCTCTGATCTCTTTTTGTTTCAAAACAAAAACTCATTTCATTAAATATACCTTAGATTTTGGCACAGAAACTGGAAACTGAAATGCTTTATTGTGTTAACCCTAATTGTGTAATAAATAAATTATCATGTGTTTATAGATGTGTTAATATGTTTTTTTTATCACTCATTTTCCGTACCATATAACTCCCTCTCTTGACTTGTCTTTTAGAAGCAAAACCTGTTTTTTACTTCTAAAAAAACTCCTCAAAATTTACAAAAATCAAAGGCATTGTATTTCACAATGCAGTATTCAGTATTAACAAAAACTTTTTAAACACAGGTGCAAATTCATTAAAAATTTAAGATTGCATTTGAAAAGATATATTACCATAGGAAGCTTGGTCCAGTGGAAGGATATCAGATCTAAACTCCAAATATCATCATGCATACGAATCCCATCATAGCCTCCACATATGTAAACCTTATTTTCAAATAACACACAACCATGGCAACGCCGCCTTGGGGGAAAGCCGTATGTTCTAGAAGGATGGCATCGTATAACGTCCCATTTTTGACTGGAGAAACAAAATGTAGGCACCTCGGTAAGATTACAAAAATCTGTGGGATCTATACCACCCATACCTCCACCAAATACGTAAAATTTATCACCATAGGTAACTGCTTCGTGTCTGTATCGGGGAAGGATGTGGGGTGGATCCTCCCGAGGAATGTACTCCCATTCTTTAGACGTGAAGTTGAATCGAGTTAAAAACGAATTAAACTCTCTCCCCGACGTCCCTGCGAAAATATACAGTTCTCTATCAGGTGAAAGAACCATACACTGTCCATAACCAGCGATCGGTAGTCTAGGTGCTCTCCCGAGAATTAAGTTTAAAAATTCATTATCATCGTCGTCGTCGTCTTCATCATCGTCTATCTTTTCTCTCTTCACAATGACATCAACGACAGTCCATCTCTTTTCACTCAGTTTTAACACATGTAACTTGTTGCTATTGCTATCTCCAAACGGTATGCCAGAACCACCGTAAATTATTATATGTCCACGGTCTAAAAGAACACAGCTAGAACAGACTTCTAAAGGAAAGTCGCCAGTAGTTTGTAAAAGTTTCCATGTACAACTAGAGAAGTTGAATCGCCATAATTCACGAAATAATTGAGTACTTGAGTGAGGCGAGTAGCCACCAAATACGTAGAAATTGTTCTCATCAGCTACACATCGATGACCGCTTCGTGGAGCAGGAATTTCGTTAGAAAATCGCGGCTTTATAGTAGAAATTTTCTTGGCACAACCTTCCGCCATCTTGGTTTTCATTAATTTGAATCGGATTGTGGACTACATAACATAAAGGGATCCCAACTAATGTCTAATTATTTTTCCTAATTTGGTCAAAAAAATCCTGTTGCTTTTAGACTTACTCAAATTTATTTCCTAGGAAATTCTTATCTTAGGTACGAGAAAAATTAATAGAATTTGAAACTGGAGAAGAAAAACTAATAAAAATTACATAGAAATGCTGATGGTTTGTGGGTAATGAAGCTGTCATTCCCAGTCCTTTGGAAAACGCGCGGGCGAAGAGTTTTTAAAATGGCGGCAGTTTTGAGTCCTTCAGACACAGAAGACTTTGAAGTCGTTTTGCAGGTAATAGAATTAATTTCTAGCTTAAATAAATTCGGAAATGACTTCTAGAGAATATGGTTTAGGGTTAAGAAGTCATTTTTGCCATCTTTTTTAGAGAAGAATGTATTTTGGCAGTATTTTTTGTTAGACGTCTAGCTTGTCTACGGTTCAGTGTTTTCTAGTTCATCTTAGAGGAATCTTTCATGAATACAATACATAATATATTAAGTACAGAAATTAAAGCAACTTAATTCTTTAAGTTAGTATTTTGTAATCCGTTAAAAAAATAAATTGGTAATATCTTTATGTACCATTGAAAAGAATCGACTTAAATTGCTTGCCTCTTGGTTTCCATAGTGATGACATTGCTAGATCAGTGCTGTTTTTCCATTTTTTATCCCTTTCTATTCCAGGTAACTCAAAGAGATATTAACTGTTTGTCTGATGACAATAGAACAACACGACGTAGGGCATTAGATAAAATTCTCAAAGATGTCCTACAAAGAAAGCCCCCACTATCTGCACAAGTCCTGCAGAGTTTGTTGGATGAGCTGGTCAAACCTCTGCTGAAAGTCATGTCTGACCCAACTGAAAAGTGTAGGGACTTGTCAGTACAAATAATGTCAGAGTAAGGAGACTTCTTTGTTGTTGTCTATCCATAATGTACATACCTTGACCTGTTTTTTATCAATACCGTACTCTGAATTATAAAATTACTGTTCTAAATTCATTGTTCTCATTGTTTGGGAGTGCATGCTTTATAAGAGTACACAGCACAAGCACGCACTTTCAGGTTCGTCATTCCTGTATTTGTATTTCATAAAAGAAATAAAAACAAAACTTGCTTGTTGTGCTGTATGGAGTTATAAAGCATTTGGAATTGGCAGAACACTTGCAAAGTGTTGAGTCATGCTTCTCCTAACACTTCTCTTGTGTTCTACCAACCCCCGTATGCTTTATAACTGCATACAGCATACATGGACGCTTTCTATTTCTTCATTATAGTAGTCCTAGAACAGGGAAAGACAGGACTTTCATATTTTCTCTGGCTTAAACTACCATTAGTAGCTTAGCAATTTGTAAGATGTTCACTTGGTCCCAAGGACTGAGCTCCAGCAGTTTATGATCTTCTAATATTATTTTAAGATTTAATACAAACCCTGGGCAGATTTAGGAATGGAGGTGGGAAGAAGGGTAGTGAAGTAACCATTGATACTGTTGATTTTTTCCCTAGATTTGCTGATAAAATTGTAGACGTATCTGTGTTTCTTCCATACATTATTCCCACCATAAGTCAGCGTCTTGGCCAACCTGAAATTGTAGAAAATTGTGAGGAATTAAGGCTCGCTTTGGTGAAATTATTGACAACTGTGACAAAACTATGTCAAAACAAAATGGCAGTCTATATTGATGATATGATAAAAATATTCCAGAGGACAAATCTGGACCCATTTCATGAAGTGAGAAAGGTGAGTCCTGCTCACCAAAATGTTGAGTCTTTCTTGCAAACGTTTAGTTTATAATTGTATTCTTGGTTAGGGTTTTTGTATTGTGGGGTATTGTTTAGCTCCAAACTCATTGTTCTCGACTATTGTTTTATTGTCTTCATTGCTCAGGTGCCCTGCAACACCATAAGAGGAACCAAAATGTTTGGTTCTTAGCTTTAAGATTTCTCTTCTGCTCCAGTGTTCTATATCTATTACAAGCATTTTGTATATTTATCTCATCTCTAATATGAAATGTGATTGTCCAGGTGAGTGTAGTCTTGAGAAAGACTGTTGTTGGTGGTGATTGACATTTTGACAACCTGAGCAGAAGTCATCTTCAGAGCCCAGTGATGAAATGAGAAATCACATTTCGCACCAAAATTCAACACCTGGGTTCAAACCAAATTTTACTCTTATCTCATCTTTCATATGCATAATATTCTTAAAACAGGAAAGTTTCAAGTGTATTAATGTGTTGGCTCCTGCAATACCAGAGCAGTTCTACTTTCAAGGGAATTCTTTGGTCAGCTCTTTGTTAAAAACAATAAGTCATCAGCACTCTAAAGTCAGAGTAGCCTGCATTGAGGTAAAAAAATGGTATCCAGTCTTGTTCGAATGCTAGTTATTAAGCTTTGCAATTTAATCAGTAGACTACTGTCGATCAATTTTTAACATGGGAATATTCATGGGAACCATTTAAGCCAGTGGATAACAAACTTGTGGCCCTCATTTCATGAACAAATAGACCTCCTTGGCTCGGGTGTGGTTAGGCATGTTTTCCCATTTCAGACCACGTGTCATTCCCTAGAGTATCATTTCTTTGTTTAAGTGTCATGCTTGGTTGCACATGAGGAGAAACATGAATATGGATACAACTCAAGTAAAGAATCTTATTCTCAAGAGAATGACACATGGTCTGAAATGGGAAAACATCACACCCTAGCCGAGGAGGTGTATTGGAATTTAGGAGTTGATTTTTGTGGAGGGAGGAAAACCGGAGAACCTAGAGAAAAACCCTTGAGCCAAGTGGGACTTGGACCCGGGTCATATTGATGAGAGGTGAGCGCTCTCATTTCTATGCCACCTGTGTTTTCCAACCTACTGTCATGATCTGATCAGCAAATAACTTCAGAAGTTAAGTGGACTACCTACTAGGTTATTTTTTATCACTCTTTGCAGACAATTGGAGTAGTAATACAGTATGGTGATGGTAAGAATGTAGATGATGTTACATCTCATTTAGCGCAGAGGACATTTGACTCATCACCTACTGTTAGAGCAATGGTTACATCAGTAGTTGGTGACTGGCTCCTGAACCTTAGAGACAGGTAAGAATAATTTTATTTATTGATGGAGGGGAGGGAGGGAGGGAGGGAGGGAGGGAATATATATTTATGTGTGCTCATACATTTTTTCATTTTCTATTTTTGTAGATATTCTTATTTTCATAAACTTCTTCCATATTTATTGACTGGGTTATCAGATGAGATGCCAGATATTAGAAATAAATCAAGAGAATTAATGGACCAGGTAACAATTTTTTCCTACATGTAAACACCTATTTCATAAAAATGTTGTTGAAGCCAAAGAAGTACATGTAGGCATTCCAGTAAGTCATTCCAAGAAGGAAAGGAATTATGGGCATACAGTACATCTGATCTAAACAGGTATAATCAAGGTGTTTTGTCACTCTTTTCACTGCTATGCACTAATCGAGATAACAGTCACAACAGGGAAGCAGGGCAATACACTGCTGCCAATCAGGAGAATATAAAGGATACCGACCAATTTATTTTATTGACGGAAGTGTATTGCCCAATTTCCCTGTCGCAACTGTTGTCTTGATCAGCACATAGCAGTGAAAAGAGTGGTAAATCGTTTCACTGACTACGTGTACTGTACAAACAACATTGAATATCTCAAGATTAAAATCTGTGTTCTTGTCAAGAATAATGATAAGGAACACACTAGTCACTCAAGATATTTTTTAGACCTCGCATTGACCTCCTTTCCCATATACAGTTTTGACTATCACTTTTAATACCTGATCTGGATAAATAAACTGTAGCAGTAAATCATTCTAAATTTAAATCTAATGTACCATGTAATCTTTTTGTGCTACTAAGGTGGGAGATTTGTATGCTAAAGAAAATGAAGAAGAACTGAAGGATAAGATTAATTTTGATGAGCCTCCCACATACAGACTGATAACAGGTACTGTACCTTGCTACTTAAAAATATGAAAAAGCTGTCAGTAACAGTTGATGAAGGCTCTCTGGTGCCATAAAAAGCAATTTTCAGAAGCCAAGTAGCTTTGCGCAATGTATTTCCAAGCGCCATAACTCAATTCCTTGCTCATATTTGTATCAAAGACATTCCCAGACCAAGTCTAGGCTGCAGAATCCTCATCCACCGAAACCTCTCCAAGATCCTCCCAGCTGCTCTCAGAGATATGACAGACTGGACTGTAGACACAAGAAAAAAAGCATCCGCATTGGTGTACAATTTACTATTCTATGCCGAGGACAATACGACTCAGCACATGGAGGTTCTCTTGAATGGCTTGTATAAAGGGTGTCAGGATGAAGAAAAGGAAGTGGTCAGCCAGGTACAGTACTTTACTAGTTGAACAAATTTTTTTTGTTGTAAAATTAAAAACTCTTGATTGATTTTGGACCATTTTCACACCTTTTTCAAAAATATCCATAATTTATGAGTGATGCAAAATAGGCCATTTTCTGGTAAAAAGCATGATCTATAGCCCATGGTTTTCATCGATTTTGGAACATTTTCAAACCTTTTGAAAAAATATCCGTAATTTATGAGTGATGCAAAATAGGTCATTTTAGGCCATTTTCTGGCAAAAAGCATGGTCTATAGCCCATGGTAAAAAATAAATAAAATAAATAAAATATAATTTCTATTTACTTTATGACCATGCCAGAGGTATAAATACTATTGAATGTCTTTCGTTTTTTCACTGGACTCTGAAGATGGCTATGATGACGGGCCAAAATAGTTTTAGTTCGATCATATCTTGTTTCTGGCTCAACATTACTGGTCAAAATGATCGGCAATTCAGAGATTTAACCAGACAAGTTCCAATTCTGGGCGGACATTTCCGATGTCCAGCTGTTATTTTAAGCCCTGACCAGTCAGACACCACCAACAACAGTCTTTCTCAAGACTTCACTCACACAAACAATCACAATTCACAACGAATTTCAACACCTGTGTTCAAACCATTTTCTTCAAAGTCTTCTATTTATTGACTTAGATCAACCCAAAGGAATTTTTTAGAGCTTGATAAAAAATTGAAGGTTTTTCTTATCTTGGCTGAAAGTATATAACTATGCACTATATTGTTCGGGCTAGCTAGAAATCACGGGATTTTTGTCTTTTCCCCCAGGTTATTGCCAGTGCAGAATTGGCAGGTAGCTTTGTAGATCCTGCTGTATTTTGTAAGCTTGCTCTTCCTCATCTCAAGACATCAGCTACCTCTTCGTCACAGTCATGTACAAACTGCCTTACAATATTAGCAGCTCTTATCCATGGATGTAACCCTGAGCTACTTGTTCCACAACTTCAGGTACACTCTCAAAATCCCTCCCCAACCACATTCAAATAGAGTCAGTTCGACTTAATGGAAAGCGTCTTCAGACTCGTCTCAACTGGAATTTATAGATACTCGTGATGTTTTGAAATTTCTCAAATTGAACTCGTCTAAAGGCTCATCCAATTTTGAAAACTTTCAAAACATCACTTGTACCTATAAATCCCAAATTGATTTCCTATACTAATTAGATTGAAATTGTAATGAACCTCCTTTGCGTTTTGATGTGCGTTTTGGGCTTTTTATGAAATACATGACATACCCTTCTCAGACCCTGACCACTCCTTAAAGATTCTTCTCCTCTCTAGGTCAGGTATGGATTCACAATGGATTGTTTGATTTTAAAACTATATTACTTTTTTCCTTCAGTATATCTGTGAAACCATTTGCCTGCCTGAGGTCTCCTGTGCAGAACAGCAATCCACCCAGCAGCAACTCCTCATCCTCGTCAATGCTGTACTACAAAAGGCTGGCACACACTGCACCCAATATAGCTATCAGTTGTTCACAGTCATAATGCACGTGAAGGCTTTACAGACCCAGTCAGGACTGGAAGAGGAGGTCATGGCTTCCCTGCAGATGCTAGCTACTATACAAAACCTGCAGAGTATACAACAGCTGTATGAAAAACACAGTGAAGAACTATTAACTAAGCTTAAGGTATGGGCTATGTATTCCAAGTACACTGTATCCTACATATACATATATTATATGATAAGCCAATTCAAAAAATAAAAGAGTCTGCAGCCCTCTGTGCAAAGTCTGCAGCCCTCTGTGTATTTATACTAGCTATTCTTGCTTCACTTGAAGAAAAAACTTGCAGGACACAAGAAAGTCAACTTGCGAAAGTCTAGAAAATGCTATTTAGTGCCTCTTGTACTTCAATCAGTATGTAGCAATACAGCGCAAATGAAAATACCCCAATTGAGATTTGCGCTATATAAATTCAATAAATTATTATTCTTTTATTATTATTAAAACAATTGTTATATAGTAAGGATAGTATGCGGCCGCTGATTGGTCAAAAACTGTGCTTTATTAGTAAACAGAGCACAGTGCTGATGCCATCCATTTGCTCGAGGTTCTGCTAGATCCTGTGATCTTCTTTCTTTTTGAGTAAATAAATTCAATACAGCAATAAAATTAATAACTATATAATGAAATGAATAACACGACATTCTTACTGAACGGAGCACAGAAAAAGCTGTTTTATTTTTTAATTATAGTATTAAGAACGGCTGCATTTTGGCGATGCTTGAAGACAAAATATAGATTTATTAAATTTATACAAATTAAATAAACAATACAAAAGGAAATTAACAGTATTGTGTTTTATTTGGATTTGTTAGGCAAGCCACATGTCATGGACCAGTCACTCACCTGAAAGACAACTCTTTGATGTGTTACTCACAAACGCAGGCCCTGTAACTGGACAAGTGCTGCTGGCTGATGCTATGCCTATATTTGCATCTTGTTTTGATATAAATAGAGACCCAGAAATGAGATTGAAGTAAGTGGTGTGACACTTCTTATATCTATTTTTCCCTTACATCTACTCATGTTTTAGGTTCTATGTACCCCTGTATCAGAATTTTCACTCTTTCTTTGTTTCTGCTTCAGATGCCTCTACCGTTGCCTTTAAGTTTTGTTCTTGTTCTTGTTGTTCCTCGAGCTTCTGCTGTATCCCTGTTGCTCTGTTTTCTGCTGCTAAAAGCTATTGTGTTCATCCCTTTTCCCTGCTCTTGTTCTTGTCCCATTCATTTGCCTCAAATATCCCTTTCATTTTGGGAAGCACGGGTGGCGTGCGCTGCTTATGTCGTACCTCTCAGCAATGCAACTACTCTCACGGATGCGACCCAATGTCTTATGTGAGAAGGGTTGTTTGTTGGGTCTCTCTTGTTCTTCAGGGGTTCTTCCTCCGGGTTCCCTTACTTTTCCTCCCTCCAAAAATCAATTTCTGAATTCAAATATGGGCTGCCTTATTAATTGGGTTGCAAAACCTCTCTACCCAGGAGGGGTAAACGCATTAGAATTTTACCCTCGCTGACTACTCCAGTTGCTCATTCCTCTACTCTTTGCTTTAATAAATTGCATGCTGCTAACAGTTGCAGGTGCTACAGCCTTTAGGGTTTTTCCTGCAGTATCTATTCCTTATCAATTTCCTGGCTGTTATTCATTTTCGTAGTTCAGGGCTGTATCAGTGGGGTAAGGACTGGGTATCCTAAGGTGCCTGTGATCCTCGAAGTATCATTGGTAGATAAAAGCCTATTTCTTATTGGAGGAAACGTCATAGGATAGTTTCATCATAGAAGACCATTTTGCAATGCTACACACGACGTACTGGTCCCTTAGCAGTTTGTAATATAGGTGTTTTTCCGAAGGGACAGAAGGAAAAGATATGCTGGAGTTTTGGTTTTGCTTATAAATAGACTCTCTTCCTCTCGTCTTTGGCAGCCCTCTTTTTTGTATAATCTTATTATTGTTCAACGTATTTTGATTTCATTGACATCATAGGACCTTTTCACTAATGTCCAGATTAGTGATGGATGCCTCTAAATCTGAAGTGTCCATAGATGCATTTAAAGAATATTCACTTGCAATAGTTAAAGATATGATCATTCCTAACTGTGTTTGGCAAACAGGAAGGTATGTGTACATTCATATGCTATTTAGATTTTGATTCTTGATCAGCTCGTAGCAATGAAAACAGCGGCAATTATGACTGTCTAATGTCAGATTGCTAGGTTGTGACTGTGTCGTGGCCAAAAGCATAACAGCGTACGTTTGGCATAGTACCCTTGGGTATTCACTAACTAGCTGGAGAGGGAGGGTGCACAAAGCTATGTTTTCTTGTTACAGGGTTCGTGCTACTCCTTAAACTCCTTGAAAACTCCTTGAAATTAATTCACGTTTTCAAGGGCACTTGAAAAGCTCTTGAATTTTATGATTTTAGCGAAACTCCTTGAAAACTCCTTGAATTTTTGCTTTGATCATTACTTGCATGGTTCTGAAATAGATCTGTAGTCAGAAAGATTGGAAAATCTGAAAGTCGGCCATGTGCAACCACCATGTAAAACCTTGGCATATTTAGCGAAACATACTCCTTGAAAATTCATTTCTGGGTCCTTGAATACTCCTTGAATAGTCTTTGAATTTTAAGTGTTTACCTCAGCACGAACCCTGTTGTTAACATCTGTGTTTGTTCTTTGGATTACTAGAACCGCTTCAGCAGTGAGAGCAGCAGCTGTCTCGTGTCTATGGGCTGTACTGCAAGCAGGTTTACTGACTGATCAACAAGCTAAAGATATCATGAAAGAACTGCTAACACAGGTAATTATGAAATAGATAGTTGCTATGCGTTGCATGGTTGGCAGAATAGTAGAGCTTTATCTTATAGCCGCAATATCCACATGTACTCTTTCACTGCAAGTCAAGAAGAGAACCATTTATTTGCAAGTGGTTTTTTCTGTTTTCGCTTACATGGAGCAATGCCTTTCCTGGCAAAAATAATACCTAAAATAGAAATACAATACRATACAATACATCTTTATTCACATTTCCTTTTATGTTACATTACATTAAATTATATATATATATCATTGAAAAAAAAAATACTTATTTGGTCAAGTAATTTCTACGAATTTCTAAGATCCATTTTGTCTTGTTTAGCTCAACACTTGTTTGGACGACCACAATCAAACCACTAGGCTAGTTTCATGCAAAGCATTACAGAAACTTCTCATTTCCTGTAAAGATTCCTTCAATGGTAAGATTATACTCGTGAAACGTTATAAAGTATGGTGATGATGCTGATGCTGATTATACATGATGATGATGATGCATTATGATAATGATGATGGTGATGCATGATGATGATGAAGAAGATGCTTAATGAGGATATGTAGTTGATGATAATGCATGATGATAATGATGCTGGTGATGATAAGGAATGATAATAATATGGTGATGGTGATCCATGAGGATGATGATGATGCCT